AGGACCATGCGGAACTCGGGCTCGTAGACGCCCTTGTTCCATTTTGTGAGCACTTTTGCGCTTGTGTCGCTGAGGAGTCCGCACAACCCGAAGCCCAGAATCGCACCGACGAAGGCGCCCGTGTACATGTATCCGGTTTCGAGTTCGCCGAACCAGAGGGGCGGGCCTAAGAAGATGGCTGCTAGGCATACGCCGATCAAGACGGTGAAGCCGATCATTACGCCTTGGATCAGGCAGGCCCAGAGGATGCCTGGGTGCAGGAAGAGGGGGAAGGGGCGGAAGAGGAGTTCGAGGTAGTGCTCGTCTGTCATGCGGCCGTTGAAGAGGCGGAGGGATTGGAGGAAGGTGTCCTTCTGGGGAGGCGCGGCGTATGAGGGTGGAGAGGGGGTGGTGGGGGTCACCAATGCCTCCTGACCTTCTTTGGCGCCAGGTTCTCGTTCGATCTCGGCGGAACTGGTTGCGTTGGTGTGCACGCTCTCAAGCTCGCGGCCTGGTTGTACGACGATGTTGCCCATGGTGTCGATATCGAAGCGCGCCTCGCGCTTGTAGGTGGTTTCCGGGCAGAAGAAGATCAGGAGAGGCAACAACGCAGCAGCGAATATGGCGACGAAGTAAAAAGTCCACTCATAGCCCATGTTGTTCGCTATCATACCCACGAATACGGGGGTCAAGAAGGCGCCGCCGAACAGCGCGAGGTTCGACAAGGCCATGCGCACTCCCCGCTCATGAACGTGGTAGAGGTCGCCGACTGAAGCGTTCACAAGTGCCTCGAACGGTGCCAGCCCCACGCCCTGGAAGATGCGCGCCCACAGGAAGCTCTTGTAATTGGTGCCCGTTGCGCCGCCCCAGATGCAGCTGAAGATGACAATGATCGTGCCCAGGATGTAGAGATGTCGCTTGCCCCAGATGCGCGCACTGGGCACGAAGATGAAGCCCGCTATGCCCACTCCAAGAAGGTGGTATCCAGTCAGCAGCGCCATGTCAGTGAAAGAGCGCTTGAAGAGGATGGCGAGGGAGACGGTATCAGCAGCGAGGATGGGCGAAAGCGTCGCCGCGATGACAGAGAGGATAGAGAGTATCCCGATTATAAGGTCGCGTTTCCATAATGGCCAGTTCTGTCACCGTCAGTATGTAGTTCGTATATCAAATCCTCATGTCACAAGGCTGAATGCGCATCGCCACTTACAAGCGGATCATTGGGGTCGTCTGAAGGCTGAGGAACCAGCAGGATCTTGCCCGTCTTGTCATATTTAAGCTGGCTTTGCGCTGCGGTTTGGGCAAGGTCTCTCTTCCGGTCATCGTCGTATACGAGCGCGGTGCCAGGCACGGGGTTGTGCCTGGATTCCAGGATTCCGAGACCCATTTTAGAGTGGAGAACGCCAGGGACAGGGTCCAGCTCCTTCCGTTTGGTATGTCGAGGTGTCAAATATACATGAGAAGAGAAGCGTCGAATAGGGGGTGCGACGGTATTAAGGAAAGCCAATATACATAGCGGACGTCGCGGATGCAGTCTGAGCGAAGAAGGCGCGATTGCTGGCTTGGACGGGGCTGAAAGCTCGGCTCTACGGCCAGCTGGTGGAGTCGCGCACGGCGGTATCCACGCGGGTCGATCGTGCGGAGATGCAGGGCAATCGGCCTTTGATTCGGCGATCCAGAGGCCCGTCATGCTTCCGGTCGGGTCCCCAGAAATATATATACTTTATGGAAATCAGCTTGCCATGATGGAAATTCATCCAATTCTGCCGTTATGTCGACAATCAATGATCTGGACATTCTCGCCGTCAGGAACATTATAGCGCTCTCCTGTGAGGCGCTGGATACAAAGGACTTCGCGCTTCTCAAGAAGGTCTTCGTCGAAAATGTCAGTGCGGACTACCCGTTCAACCATGATCTGCAAGACGTGAATTCAATTATTACAGCCGTCCAGAATAGGTAACGGAAGAAACCTTCCCCTACAGTGAGTGTGTTTGGATGCTAACCAAAGATAGACTCGGACCTATCCGGACGCACCACAACTTGACCACGCAGCGAATAACGTTTGACGACAACGGCAAGACAGCACATGCTGTGACGTATTTCCAGAGTGCGCATTTTGGACAAGGACCGCACGAAGGCAAGCTTCTTTGCGCGTACGGAAAGTATTTCGATGACTTGGAGCTCCAACAGGGCAGCGACGGTAAAAGCGAGGGCGTGCCTGGTGCAAGCGGCATATGGAGGATCGTAAAGCGCAAAGTGACCTTCACGCAGCGTATTGGAGATGAGAAGATCATGTCTGAGCACTAGCGTCAGAGATACGTGGTGAAGTTGACTTGGAAAATGGTTGGAAGGAACAGCTTGGACATTTTTGGCAACTCCGCAACTACTACGACTAATGTTTAACAACTGCTCCAAACCTCTCCTCTACCCGACACAATCGCTAATCATAGCAGCAAGACCGCTACCATTTTTACTCTCGCAGATTCCACCTCATCATGACATCGTATGCTCACCCGGAGACCGGCCCACTAGGGGGCCTTGACATGGACAGTTTCTTCGATGCACCCCTAGAGCAGAAGAAGAAGGTACTTGGTGAGACAATGTGGCCATTCGTGTCTATCAACTATCCGAGATCGGCGGCCAAGATACGGGAATTGATGCTCGAGAAGGACATTGACACACTCGTTTCTCTGTAAGCCTCGTCGCCACCCCGAAAGTCTCTGGTTGACCTGATCAGTACATTTGACGAGACTGCTTTCGTCGCTGAGATTGAAAAGATTTCAGACCTCATTGAGCCGCGCGACGACAATCATAACGTTGACAAGATGGAAGACGTCGAGACCGGAAATGATGAGCCCGAAGTACGACCTTAGGAGGAAGCTTGGAGATCGGAATCCTGCCAGATATACATGATACAGTGAGTTCAGCACGTTCGAAATCTTCTGTAAAGAAGCGTTGTAGATCTCTTTGTTGTGAGGCTTACCTATGCAGCTTCAACGACGAAGGATTTCAGCTCGAACGACGGATCAAAGCACTGTCTGCAGAAGATCCTTACACACAGACTCAATACGACAACGATCCGGAGGTATTGAACGATTCAAACAATCGAGTCTGCTGCGTGTACATCTCCAATCTCTTCACCGACCAAAACAATTTCGTATACTATATCAGGGGCACACAAAACCTCAACATGTTCTATCTCGGTTCAACGGGAATGCAAGCATTCGATGGTGCTGTGCTCTTCACGATCAGTCCCCACCCCTTGCCGTATCTCATGCGGCCCATCAACCTAGGGAGTGGCAGGTATAAACGGCTCCCAAAGAACAATATACCTCTCGAGTCCATCAAATGGCGCTACACGTACGATACTGCCAGGCTGGCTTGGGACAAAAGCGACGTTGACCTCTCGAAACTGCAGGAGCTTATGGAGAACAGATCGATCAGCCCCGTTCGAGACAATCCAAGCATAGGATCGCAGCGGCCTTTTGGTCCTCTGGGGCCACTAGAGAAAGCATTCGAAACACATCCAGGAACTGCAGAAATTGGTGCAAAACTACAACCTGTACATTTCGTGCCTGGCAACCTACTGGAGAAAGACGAGCTGGACCGCAATCTACCACGAACCACAAGACAAGGCAAAAAGCATCTACGCGTGCGATGGGCGCTCGATGATCAACTGGAAGATCATAGGATGGACCGACATGCACTACGCTCTGATAGCGTCATTGAGGGCATGAGAGATGTCCATTTCGGAGGACAATCCGAACAAGAATACCTGAACCTGATAATGCATCTGAAGAACAAATCCCAAACTCTGGGTCAGCTCTGGATTACGCTAAAAGATTACATGCGTCAACGTCCGGTTGACACTGAGAGTGAATTGGCAGACAAGATCATTGCGATCATGAGACGCGAAGAGGAAATTTCCAAAGCAAAATCAGTGGCGGCCATCAGAGGAGACAAGGTGACTGATGACCTAAAGCAACTCGAGGGAAGTGTTTTAGCCGATCGAAACCGTGCGCTACAGGAATTCTCAAATACTTGGGCTGAGAAATGGCACAGTATATTTTCAATAGCACTGACTGAAGAGCTTAGCAGGCGGCAAGACAAAACCACCAGCAGAAGCCAGATCAAACGTTGGCTAATGGATGTGTTGATGCACTCGATGGATGGTCCCAATCAGTCCACCGCAGGGCCTTTAGACACCCAAGATATTCAAGCTGTGATCAACCTCGCTGACAACTTTGAGTTGGAACGAGAATGTATGGACAAGATGCAAGGCGCGAACAACGACTCAGAGGAATCGGATCGTCTCGACACTATGATGGACTCCTTCGAAGAAGACAGGGTAAAATACATATCCGATCTGTCCTTGCGCATGTTCAACCGCTTCGGTCATATGGACGTTCGCAAACTCATGCTTTTATCCACACAACCTACCGAAACCTGGGAGCCCACCGATCCGCCCAAAGACTTGACAGCCAACGAAGCAGTCATCGTAAGCAACACGATGGAAGCAATGAACTGCTGGGACAAAGACCTCGTCATCAAACTGCTGCATGAATCCAACTGGCTCGCCGAAGTAGCGCTTGCAAAATAGTACGATCGCAACACCACCATCGACACCGACACCAGCAACGTGAGTAATCCCGCGCTCTCGGCCAAGCAGCTGGGAAAGCGCCCCGTGCTCTTCGAGACCCCGGCAGAGGGCTCGAAGGCCAAGAAGGATAAGGAGAAGCAGGAAGGCGAGGATGAACCTGAGGAGACGCTGGAGGAGGCGAGGGCGCGGCTGGAAAGGATTATTACGGAGGCGAATCGGACAGATGAGATGATGGAGTGAGGGTCATCGGGCTTGAAAATGCAGCCTGATATCGGCTGCTAAATGTAGTGGTTCGGTAGCTGTGAGTATGATAGCTAGGTTGGCGAAATGCCACTTTCCCAGCTGTCTGTCTTTCACTCTTACCTTCCCTATTGTCAGAGTCCGATATATACACCGATACCACCTCTCTTTCCATCAAACAACAGGGCGCGTAGTTTAATGGTAAAACACCTACACCAAGCCACCCACCTGAGCGCTTCGGGATACCCATTGTCGCAATATGTTGTCGGAGGATTTCATTCTCTGACCGGTGGTCTCGTGTGGGAGATGTGCGTTCGATTCGCACCGTGTCCATTTTCTTTTTTAACACCTTTCCTTACTTCTTAGGCTTCTCTTCCTTTCGTGAAAGATAGTGCACTCTCACTCTTACTTCTGAGTGTCAACTTCTGATATATACACCAAAACACTCACATTCTGTCCCCTCCTCTTTTGCTTTCCTTGTTTCGTAGGGCCAGTTGGAGTTCTATGGTTCGATGTGGCACTACAGACTTCTCACGATACCTATAAGGGCTTTGGGCGTTGGAAATATGAAATTAGCAAAGAACACTGGATTTGTCAAGCCTTGACCACTGGCAGGCAGGCATTGCAAGTTCTATCGTAATCGATTTCTGTATCTTCATCTACCTACATGACTTCTACCTGAGCCCGTCACTATCCACGCATAACTTCCAACGACCTAATATTCGTACCTGAACCCAGCATCCTCGCGATCCGTCCCTGTACTCCATACATCCTTACTCATGAATGCCTCCTCCCCTGCCTTTACTTCCCCGGACTTCCTATCCCTCTTCCGGTTCTGCCAGCGGTAGTACAACGCCAACACCACCGTCACCACCGCACATCCCGCCTGCGTACCCATGACCGCAAGCTTCGCAGGCCGATAAACCGGTGCGTCTTTGGCCTGAAAAGTCTGTGGTCCAATAATGTTACCCACACTGAAAGACCCAGACACCACCGCGGCAGCAAAGGCGCGCTTAGTCGACCCCGAGACATTTGCTGCGGTCCAGGCGTAGAGAACCGGAAGCGGAGCTACGACGGCGTTGACGAGGTAGATTCCCGCAAGGCAGCCGGCACGGTTTGTGACGGGGAGGAAAGACATGAGTGCGCCGCCGATAATGGCGGGGACGATGCAGACGAGGATCCAGAGCCAGCGGTGGGATTGTGCGCGGATGCCGGTGCCGACGAGGAGGGTGAAGAAGATGCTGACGGCGCCGGAGGGGGTGTTCATTAGTGCAGCGCGTTTTGGGGGGTAGTTGAGATTGCGGATCAGGGTTGCGGAGTATGTTGTGACTACGCCGCTGGAGACTGAGAGCTGGGTGGGGTTAGTGTTGGATAGAAGATGATGACGGGAGACTTACTAAGATCACAGCGAGAACCATGAGATATAGCTGAGGGTCTGTCATGGCTTCGAGTATCTGCTTAGGCCGAAAAGTCTTGCTCTGGATTCCAGTCCTGTTGATGCTGACATGTCTTAATAGCGCGATCTTTTCTGCGTCGGTAAGCCAGCTGGCCTGCATGGGTGTATCTGGGATGAGCAAAAGTGTCGCCAGGCCAATAACAACCGTCAGACAACCTAATGTGACAAACATGATGCGCCAACCAGCAAGTCCAGTCCCAGGTGATATATGCTGAAAGCCATAGGAGATGGCTCCGCCAATGATCTGGCCGAAACCGAGTCCGCAGTACCAGAACGAGAAGCGAGGTGCTTGCTCGGACTTTGTGTACCACTGTGAGCTTATCAGAAGCAGAGAGGGGCCAATTGTCGCTTCAAAGATGCCAAGAAAGACTCGAGAGACGAGAAGGGCACGATAAGATGTTGCGGCAGCACCACTGGCTGTTGCAATACCCCATAGGACCACGTTGAGGCCAAGCCATTTCGCAGCGGGAACCTTCTGAAGAAAATAGACTGAAGAGTGTCAGGCACTTTAGCAAAAATTCAATTGGAGGTGAGCGCACTGTTGGGCACTTCGAAGCATAGCAGACCGACAAAGAGGAACGTCGCGACATTCGAGAACTCGTTTCCAACGAGATGCAGATCTTTTTGGATACCCATGACGGCTGAATACTGATGATTCATTAGTGTGTTGCTACTGATGCCTAATGTAACTCACGTTCAATATGACTTTGTCAAGAAACTGCATGGTGTAACAGCAGAACATCAATGGCACAATATGCCAGTCTACCTTGCGACGTAATGCTCTGATGTCTACGGCATCTGCATCGGAGCTGTTATGATTCTGTTTATTAAGAAATGACCATGCATCGTCGAAGTTCATCGGTTCTCGTGAAACCTGACTTTCCTGAACCTCGGTCTTCTTATTGGCAGTCATGCTGGCTTCCCTCCTCTGAAAATGAACCTGTAGAGTCGAGAGTCTTGCTGCGCTTGCAGCATGAATCTGAAATTGAGCACTCTAACAGAGAACTAGAAGGGCTGTACAATTATGTACCCGAAGACAAATGTCGCAGGCAAGGTTAATTAGCACCTGCTGACATACAGAACCACATGTAACCCTGCATGCTTACAAGACCATTCAGCCATGTGTATGCAAGGCACCTTCAAGGCTGCAAGACCGGTCATTGGTGATAGGTCCTGACCCCACATTGAGAGACTATCTGCTGACATGCATGACACAATGCATAAAACGTCGTATAAATGCATGGGCAAGGAGGCACGCCATATATTCGAGTGTTCTAGTGCCTGAATGGTGCGATTAAAAGGGGATGCCGGCTATTGTCGGTATGTAGCGATTTTCAATGGTCAAAGTCTATTACCATCTGTCTTGCAGAGAGCAGATGGCTTTTGGACGTCAGATTCTTCCAGTCATGAGCTTCAAGACATGCTTGTCGAGAAGCCAGGACTGTAGGTAGCGTCCTCAAAGCCACACTGTGTTGGTATGCATCGACGCCGGTCCGAGTTAAGACAGTGTGACCCATCAACGACAGGACCATTTGCTTCAGCTCGAGTACATCGACTATGGCATGGTTTGCACCCGCACCAAGAACTGGGAGCTTAGTGAGCATTTAATCTAGATTGAGCTGTGCTCAAAGCTTACACATTGTCATGGCGTGAGCCGCATCGCCCACGAGTGCGTAGTTTCCTTTTGCTTGGCTCTCTCGAGGAAGCGACCAATCGTCAAGATCCAATTGCTTTATTTTGGAACCATCAGGAACCAACAACAGGAAGGAACGGAAGGGCTCTGCAAAATCCATGGCAACTGTCTTAATCATGGCGAGTCGTTCGTCGTTGCTGGCGCGGGCATCCCTCTGTGTGATGGAGCGGAACGGTTCTTTTTCAGTCGAGCCTGATACGCAAACCTGATAAACGAAGTCTTGGTTGCTATCTTGGGCTGATTGCGGTGCTTTTAACACTACGACTACATGTTAGTCCAACGCCACAGTATCTTTCACGAGAGCTGAGTTGACTCGAATAAAGACTTACAGCTAGTGTACATAGACAAGTCATTTGCGGAAGCAGTACCCTGCAAAAAGAACGGATCAAGCGAGCGGATAGGTTTGGCCTCATCAGCAGTTATCTGCATTGTAAAGCCAAACATGGATACCGGTATTGGATGGTTCGAAGATTGCTCGTCTCCAAAGATCTCTTGACGTACACGCGAACGATTGCCGTCGCAACCAAAAATTATGCGACCACGATGCGTTGAACCATCCTCAAAATGAGCATCGACTGCCGAAACATGATCTGATAGATGCTTGAAAGACTTGCCCCACTAGACAAAGTATTAGCTCTGAACCATATTACTGAATGAAGCATGACAGTGGTACCTTGATGTCGATTCTGGTGGCTAGGAGCTGTCTCAACTTCTCCCGGCTCACTCTGATTCTTTCATGCTCTCCTGCTCGAGGGACTGCGCCTAACTTTTCGCCAGTGGAGAGATCAAAAAACGGGAAAGTCGAATCTTCGTTACGTTCCACAGCAGCACGATCAACGTATGTTTCAGGTAGGCGAGAGAGAAGATCCCCAGGAAGCAGCTCGCGAAGAGCAGGCAATGACCAATGCAAAGTGAGGCCCCATCCTGAGCCGCGGGACGTGAAGTCATCGTCACGCTCAAAGATAAGGAAAGGTATCTTCAACTGGCGAAGCTGTTGAGCCAGCAGCAGCCCCGATATTCCTGCCCCAATGATAAGTACTGGCAGACCACTCTCCATCGTGTCGACAAGTAAAGGTGCAAGATTTTTGTGCAAGCTTGAGAGCATGATCAGACTGTCAGCATGCAACCGCGCTAAAGCGCTGACACTTGCCTCTTCAAGCAGCTGCAGGTGTCCTAAGCCGGACGGTGCACCCAAAATAGTCGGTGCTTAAGGTGACGACCGGTCACATCCTCTCCGTATGCAAAGGCTTAGTGAGCACATCTAGCAGTGTTCGTGAAGTAATCTTAATTGTATCGTTGACGCCAATCCATGCCTCATGTACAGTAAATATCGTACACCATCCTATACACATCCACTTTACATCTGCACCCGCCCTGAGCCTCCGCGCTCGATCTTGTTGAGCCTTCTGGCAGTGTGGATCTGGGTTCTTGTCCTCTGTCCACGGACAGGCAAACCCATAGCGTGCCGCCTTCCTCTGTATGTGCCCATATCTTTCAATCTGCGAATGTTGTCCTGTACTTCTCGCCGCGCATCGTTTTCAATTTTCATCGTCGATAATTCGGCTGTGAGGTCCATGACGGTTGCGTTCTTCAACGAGCCAACCTTCGCCCATGGATGAATGTGGTGTTTAGCCATGATGCTCTGCGAAACCTTGGGACCGATGCCGTAGAAGCTCTGGAGCGAGCGCTGGGTAAACGGTTAGAATTGCGATGCGCTCGAGGCGTTCGATGGCGGTGCTGCACATACTTTGACGAGCGTCGCCTCCGTGAAGCTGAAACCGTTGATAAACACCTAAATCTTATCAGCGCATCCTCCTCGCCCTTGAATTGCAAACGTACCATGGCGCCGGCAGTGCTCAGGCAGCTATTTGCGTGGTGTTGAGATTCTGTAACCGTGCCTGCGCGAGGATCGCGAATCTCGAATGTTGCGCGGGCACACTCCGGCAGAGGTGCGACAGCCCCGGTCGTGGTTTCACGCTAGGCGGCCAAGGACCACGTCTCGGAAACAAAGGGTGCAGCTCGACATTCCAGGGACTTGACACCTACTTAACCCCGCAACCTCCTCTCACTGCAGAAGAGGTAAACCAGGCATCATGATTTCTCTTCAGAGGCTCCTCGTCTCTGCACTCCTGATCCTCTCGGTCACTTTCGTCTTCTTTGCTCAGTCCGCTGAAGCTACCAAGG